AATCTTAGGTTGGTTCTTCAAACAAACAAGGATTATTCTTATTTTAGGGGATGTTGCTAGAGGTGTCGCTAGGGGCGGGGCTATATTTGATCACGCCATAACTTACTGGTTTCATTTGTGTAACTGAAAATGTAATTTATCAGCGTCATCACGTCACTTGCCAATGTCTCCTGCTCTCTCACAGCTGGCTGTTGGCTCTGTATTGTACAGTAAGTGATGCTAATTACTTTAATTGTTATTTAATTGTATTTTAATGGTTTTCTGAACAACTTATAAATATTTGTGGTTTGCTCTGTTGTGTTATGCTTGATAAAGGCTCTAAAGCAGAGCATTTACATACACTACAATTTCCGTTTAAAAGAACACTTCAAAAACCCAAACCACTAAAGCTCTTTGTAGTGGTTATGGTACCAGGAACGCCCTGGCTCCCTCCCAGAATAAGTAGTCAAACCGTTAGGGATGCCCACAACAGCAGCCGTGCTTGTGGATTCTTCTAAAAGAATAATATGGTAAGCTGGGCCATAAAGTGCCACTATCACCTACTGAGAGCAACAGACAACTGTGGTGGTTATAGAGGTAAAAAGAAGAAACAGAGAATATAGGGTGTTGGAAGACGGCCAACACCCTAAGCTCTGCCAAGAGGTTACTAGGGGAATAGGGGGCTTAACCCCAGAGAAAGGAATAGACAAAAAAGAAGAAAAAAAAAAAAAGAAGAAAAAAATAAAAAAATAAATAAGCTAGGAATCCACCAAACATACGAATATGAGGGTAGAGACCTGCTCATTTGGTGGTCTATACCCCTAAAGTAATAGTACTTGTCATAAAGAGGGGAGAGATCAAACACAGAAAAATAAGGAAAAAGAAAAGGAGGGATAACGTGGGTATTATACCTTTAATTAAACAGGGGATACACATTAAATAAGATAATGGTAAAAGAATCACACTGGCTCTATGTATGGCCAGAAGGGAAATATCCCTTGTAAGAATACATATAGGGAAGTGAGGTTAAACCTCACAAATATTGGATCTAAGCCAACACAATTACAAAGTACTGGGGACCAAAAGACAGGTCACTAGAGTGATATAAGTTAATTACAAGTGTAGGTTAAACTTAGAGAATGAAGCTGCCAGAAATCTGGTCTTAGTCAATAAATACTGCCAGAAATCTGGTAAATAGGCAGGGGGGTATTACAGATAGAGATATAAAAATTGAGTAAGCCTTGATAGTACAGGTACCCCTAAGGGGAGCACAGTAGTTGCTAGTGCAGGTTAGTAGGTAAAGCTATGCAGAGGATTAATCTAGGAAAAGTGCCCACCTGAGCATAGAAAAGCATACAAATACTTGTAGCTTATTATCAAGAACAAAAGGCCTCCAAGCAATGGCCTGTCCGTAACCTAAATAGCCCTGCACAAACTAACTGACTCCCCTGAAAAACAGGGTAACTAGGTACAATACCTGCTGCTTCAACGGCAGCCTAAAGGCTATCCCTATCGCTTAACCCACTCACTGCCCAAATGAAGCCTCAAAAGAACATCAAAACAAAAAATAAATAAATAAATAAATAAACAAATCAAAAAGAAAAACAAAAAAGTGAATTAAATAAAGTAAAATGAATGCATCGGCATTCTGAAATGCTCGACGCGCGTTTCGGCGTGTAAAAACGCCTTTGTCAAGAGCTACCTCTTTATGACAAGTACTATTACTTTAGGGGTATAGACCACCGAATGAGCAGGTCTCTACCCTCATATTCGTATGTTTGGTGGATTCCTAGCTTATTTTTTTCTTCTTTTTTGGTTATAGAGGTATTTCAGCAAAACATAGAGACTGTGCCTTATACTTAGGGACACTTGGGAGGTATGCAAGCCTGGTACCAGTTACTGTAATGAGCTCGTAGTCTGAGTGAGAATAACAAGTCGAACTCGAAATCTGGTACTGAAATTAATTACCTTTGGTACAATAATGCTATTTTGTTTTTAGATACTTCCTGTGACAAATTGTCTTAAGGCAACAATTAAATAAGAAAGAGTTCTATTTTTCTGTCAATAGCAATTCACTATAAATTCTCCACCAATTCAAACAGAGCAAGATCAATTAGACACCGGGAGTTTGTCAGCTTAATAATGCATAACATTTATAATCTCCTGCAGCAATCATTGGTGCTATATGAAGCTATACAGTTGTTGTCTGCAGGCCCTAGAGGATTATTAACTAAACAGTAACCCGACAATTGACTTGCAAAATCTAGGACAAAAACAGACAATTTGCAAAATATAAATCTTGGTGTAATTTTGATATTTGTTCTACATATTGCATTTCTGCTATCCAGCCCCTGCAACGTGCTATTTACTGAATAACTCTGCCAGGGAATGGAGAATAGTTCTATTTGCCTGCTAAAATCTTTCTCTAGGTCGAAATTAGATCACATTTTGGGGTTTGTTCACTAAACAACGAACTGTAGTGAACTTAAAACGGAACTTCAAAATTTAAGCAAAGATGGAAGGTTTAAAAAATTGAGCAGTCAGAAAATTTGCGTTTAGTGAATAAATCTTTTTAGTTTGTTCTTTTATGGAAAATTAATGAGGACTGAAAAGTCAAGGCTAAGAAAAATGAATTGAGGAGAGGTGGGAGGGAGGTAAAATGGGATTAGGCTTTTTTTTTCTGGAATTCTAGAGCTATAGGACTAAGCGTTAGCTGATCCTGACTTTTCACAGTTACACCCATTCCATTTTGGTTTTTTGTTTCTGGGTACAAATGTTTGGCTGTTATTCAAAAACCTTTCAGGTTTGTGATTAACATTTTCCATTCGTTGAAGTCCTCGGTTCCAGTGAAATGTACAACATTCCCAATAAAGGTACATGGAAAACATTTGTTTTTCCCCCAATTAGAAATGTTAAATTTGTATTACTGTTACATTTTTGGATTGTACGAATTGCAGTGTTACATCAACATCCATTTTGCTACAGTTGCTTTTTTTTAATTTTAAAATGGCTCTGTCCTTTTTGAGCCTTTAAAAAATAGCATCTCTATGAAAATAAAAGTTAATTGAAACCCATTTGCATATTAAGGCTGAGGATATGGTGGAGCACAGATTTTATAGGAGTCTGTACCTCACCATATCTTCAGGCGGGGATTATTCCGCCCAAGCGTCTAAGTTGGAGCTGCACCTAAGCTCCTATAAAGTGTGAGTGCATATCATTGTATTTACCCTCATCTTACAGTATGTTTACATTCTTCACTATCAGTTTCCTATTTCTCCTCCTTTTTATGGTTATATATACGCACTCCAAGCACATTCCAGGCGCTGTACCTCCCTCTGCTTCTTACCTGCTTCTTACCTGCTTCTCTACGGGACACGAGAGACCCCGGATTTGGTGACCTAGCTGCCCTTTGGACTGTACCAGTAGTGGACAAGAGCTGAATATCCTCTTGCTTTTATACATAATACAAAAATGGGGTGGGGTACAGGCGTGCGGATAACAATTGGCAACTCTGTCTTGTGTGAAACTTCGAGGAATGGAAACCAACCTACAATGGTGCCAATGTGGTGCATGTTAAATGCGTACCAAAAAAATCTGCAGACCCCGGTAAAAATAAACAGCATTTGTTTTTGCATTAGTCAGCTACATTGATCTGACTGCTCTGCTCGAGCTTTAAGTTATCTAGGATTTCGGGTAGCGATGATCCAGTGCCAGGGACCTCCTAGTACCATAACAACTTCATGTTAATCAAGTTATTATGGTGCCAAAGTGTTCCGTTAACCCCTTAGTGACCAGACCGTTTTTCAATTTTCTTACCGTTGAGGACCATGGCTGTTTTTACATTTCTGCTGTGTTTGTGTTAAGCTGTAATTTTCCTCTTACTCATTTACTGTACTCACACATATTATATACCGTATTTACTACAAAAAATTATAAAATATGATAAAAAAAAATTAAAAACCCACTTTTTCCAACTTTGACCCCCAAGATCTGATACACATCTACAACCGCGAAAAAACACCCATGCTAAATAGTTTCTAAATTTTGTCCTGAGTTTAGAAATACCTAATGTTCACATGTTCTTAGCTTTTTTTTGTGTGCAAGTTATAGGGCCATAAGTACAAGTAGGACTTGTTTCAAAATATATAATTTTTTTAAATGTATCAATAGTGACATTGTAACACTGTTACCTGTCATAAATCTCTGAATCACACCTCACATGTACATATTTTTTTAAAGAAGACAATCCAGGGTATTCAATATGGGGTACGTCCAGTCTTTTTTAGTAGCCAATTAGTCATAAACACCGGCCATTTATATTTGTTTGTGTGTTAAAAATGACTGAGTGACTACTAAAAAAGAGTGAGCATACCCCATTTGCAATACCTTGGGTTGTCTTCTTTGGCAAATAGTATTCCATCATAATTCTCATTCCTGTGCTACCATACGTTCTCAAAGACAACATAACCAACCTGACAAATTTCAATGTGAAAAAATAGAAAATCAGGTCTTATATTCGACCCTGTAACCTTCAAAAACACTATAAAACCTGTACATGGGTGGGTACTGTTATACTCAGGAGACTTTTCTGAACACAAATATTAGTGTTTCAATGGGGGCGGAGCCTAGTGCCTGAACGAAATGGCCGCAACACATTGAAGCTCCTGAGTAGGGGAATACAAGCCTACATATATCAGACTCCAAACGACACCATCGAAGGTATAAAAATACTCACCTCGACACCTTCGGGGGTGAGCCACATACAGATGCCTTTCCTATTCCCGCAAACTAGATGGAAAACCTGATGGAGATCTGGGACCTACCCTGAGTTCAGCACTGCACGATCAACGCTGGAAATACCGGAGCGGCCGGAGGCATACACATACTCACCTCCATACCAGCCCACGCACACCCTGCGGGACACGGACACCATGGGCAGAAGATCCTAAAAGCCACCACCAAGTGCAAGCAAAGTCACCCAGGACATAGGCGCCCTGCTACAGAGCCCAGCCACCGCAAAGATGGCGACCGAGCCAGACCACAGTGGAGGCTCAAGTGGCTCTGAGGGACCCACAGGGATGCCCCTAGAACCCTCGCACGCCTGACTGCACCAAACAGACTCAATAAAGGACAATAACCTGACCCCAGCTACAAAACAAGACATCTCAGATTTACTGCACGAAATGAGGCAGCTGCTCGAAACCGAAATCATGGCAGTCATGGCATGCACACAGGCCTCCAATTAGGACATCTTTGACTTGAGGCAGGAGGTTCAAGGCCTAAAAGAATCCATTCACCAATTGCAGTCTTACCAGGCCACTCTAACAACCAGTGTGGACCTGGCAGAGGACCACCACAGGTGTGTGATCCTCAAGATCCAGGGCATATCACAGAACTACGCCACTACCTATGTAAAGATGACTTACCACCTCCCTCATGCCACACGCAAAGGAAACTCACCTTTGAGGGCTTCTTTCACATTCAAAAACCGAGGCAAGCACCGCCGCATGCCTCGCAGGACATCATCGTCAGATACCACTCGACCACCGACAAGACTCGATTAATGGCTGCGGTCCAGGGCAAGACCCCGCTCAATTTCACCTTCTTTCAAGACATAACGCGCAACACATTTCTATGGCTCCGATTAATGGGGCCTGTGACCAGCCAGCTGCTCAATGTGGGCATTGAGTACAGGTGGGCTTTACAAGTAACCAGAGAGGGCATCACAAAGAGACTGTCCACACTAATGGAAGCAGACTCCTTCCTCCGAGCCCTGGGGATCCCCACAAGAGAAGCGCTGACAGCAACTCCATCCAGTTCACATACCTGGGACCCAGAGAGAACCGTTCCCTTTACCCATGGAGGGAGCAAACATCAAGGGATTGTGCAAGCTCATGAGATTATATGCCACACTGTCAAGTCATATCTTTCTGTTTAAAGTTTTTCGTTCTTAGGCTTATGTTTTAATATCGTAATGTCCTAAAGTTCCTTTCAACAGTTATGTATACACCTGGCACGGGATAACCACACAGTACTAACTTCCCCGGTCACCACCTGACACTAGGCACTCAACTGGCACACCTACCTCTTCCTAGTGGGACTTCTGCACCCAACAGGGAGCTCCCCTCACCTACTAGGCAACCACCAAAACTCGCGGCGACAATGGCACAGGCCACCTACGCAAACTTAACATGACTCGGCTGACGTCCCAAGCAGCCGCACAAGAAGTAATGCACCTGGGCCAAGCAAACTGAGCACACCTCACTACAGGACGGTAATATGGCTGACTGATAGTATTTATCCGGGCGACCGGCTACCAACTCTCACTCCTTGCCAAAGTGAAGTGACCAATTGTCCCGAGTAGACACACGACCCACAGATGGCACACACAAACCTTCATTTGGCAACCGATCATACAATCAGTTCCACTCACTTACCATAAAAATAAGTGCTACGATAGCAACTTCTCATACTGTACATATGCAATTGACAGCTATTTATATGCTACCTGAGAAAGTAAACGTTTGCCTCTATGTATAACTCTGCACTTGAAAAATTAAGAATTAAAAAAAAAATATATATATTAGTGTTTCAAAACAATAAAACGTATCACAACAATGATATCATCAGGAAAAATGCAGTTTGTGTGTGAAAAATGCAAAAACAGTCACTTTCACTGACAATATCATCACTGTGATATGTTTAACTTTTTTGAAACACTAATATTTGTGTTCAGCGAAGTCTCCCGAGTAAAATGTACAATTTTTTACGGTGTCATGGAAAGTTATAGGGTTAAATACAGTGCTAGCAAATTAAATTCTCTGGACTTTCTGCCTGGGTTGCCAGATAGCACTTTCATCACTCCTGAGGAAGTCTAAAGTTTTTAGACAAAATGCGTAGAGTGAGTTTTATATTTTATTGTGAGTTTTATTGTTTTTGTATGCTGCTATGCCTTATGATACCTGTTAGGGTTCCTACATCCCAAACTACTGAGACCTGGATCGGGGACCACAGGATTGTATTGATGGGCTTTTTATCTATTGGCATTCTGTAAGTGTAACCATTAAAGCGGATGTTCAAATTTTATTTCAGTGTTGCACTATGTTCCTTTTCATTCTTTTTACATGAAACATTGAACATCTGAATACTGTGGATCTGTTGGAATCTACACATTATTGATGAGCCTGAAATTTTCTGCTTCTCTGTGATTGTAACCTTGAATTCTGGGGTTTACTATCATTTATGCTATTACCCTATTAGTTTCTCTTTCTCTGTTTTATGCTTTTTATATCTTGTTTTTTGCTGCCTGTATTTGAGGTCCCCCAAATTGCAATCAATAAAATTACTTAATTATGTAAAAATATTACATAAATATGCACACAGAATTTAAATATATATATATACATATTTATATATTTGAAGTCTACGTGTATATTGATGAAATTATTTATGTAATTATGTATATGGGCATATGTATATTTCAGATTAATTTTATTTATTTATATATACATATATATATATATATATATATATATAATTTCATTCTAAGTGTATCTTGATGTAATTTTGTTTATTAATTTTTTATTTATTTTTTATTAATTATTATTTATTTTTTATAATATATATAACAATATATAGTTATTATATATTATATATATATACACATGTGTAATTTTACATAAAGTTTATTTTTATATTAATATATGAATAAATTAATAAAAAATACACTTAGTATCACATTATATAGAAGATATATACACTGCTCAAAAAAATAAAGGGAACACAAAAATAACACATACTAGATCTGAATGAATTAAATATTCTTCTGAAATACTTTGCTCTTTACATAGTTGAATGTGCTGACAACAAAATCACAGAAAAATAAAAAAATGGAAATCAAATTTTTCAACCCATGGAGGTCTGGATTTGGAGTCACACTCAAAATTAAAGTGGAAAAACACACTAGAGGCTGATCCAACTTTGATGTAATGTCCTTTAAACAAGTCAAAATGAGGCTCAGTAGTGTGTGTGGCCTCCACGTGCCTGTATGAGCTCCCTACAACGCCTGTGCATACTCCTGATGAGGTGGTGGATGGTCTCCTGAGGGATCTCCTCCCAGACCTGGACTAAAGCATCTGCCAACTCCTGGACAGTCTGTGCTGAAACGTGACGTTGGTGCATGGAGCGAGACATGATGTCCCAGATGTGCTCAATTGGATTCAGGTCTGGGGTACGGGTGGGCCAGTCCATAGCATCAATGCCTTCGTCTTGCAGGAACTGCTGACACACTCCAGCCACATGAGGTCTAGCATTGTCTTGCATTAGGAGGAACCCAGGGCCACCCGCACCAGCATATGGTCTCACAAGGGGTCTGAGGATCTCATCTCGGTACCTAATGGCCGTCAGGCTACCTCTGGCGAGCACAGGAGGGCTGTGCAGCCACCCCAAAGAAATGCCACCCCACAACATTACTGACCCACTGCCAAACTGGTCATGCTGGAGGATGTTGCAGGCAGCAGAATGTTCTCCACGTCGTCTCCAGACTCTGTCACGTCTGTCACATGTGCTCAGTGTGAACCTGCTTTCATCTGTGGCGCCCGTGGTGAATTTGCCAATCTTGGTGTTCTCTGGCAAATGCCAAATGTCCTGCACGGTGTTGGGCTGTAAGCTCAACCCTCACCTGTGGACATCGAGCCATCATACCACCCTCATAGAGTCTGTTTCTGACCGTTTCAGCAGACACATGCACATTTGTGGCCTGCTGGAAGTCATTTTACAGGGCTCTGGCAGTGCTCCTCCTGTTCCTCCTTACACAAAGGCAGAGGTTGCGGTCCTGCTGCTGGGTTGTTGCCCTCCTACGGCTTCCTCCACGTCTCCTGATGTACTGGCCTGTCTCCTGGTAGCGCCTCCATGCTCTGGACACTACGCTGACAGACACAGCAAACCTTCTTGCCACAGCTCGCATTGATGTGCCATCCTGGATGAGCTGCACTACCTGAGCCACTTGTGTGGGTTGTAGACTCCGTCTCATGCTACCACTAGAGTGAAAGCACCGCCAGCATTCAAAAGTGACCAAAACATCAGCCAGGAAGCATAGGAACTGAGAAGTGGTCTGTGGTCACCACCTGCAGAACCACTCCTTTATTGGGGGTGTCTTGCTAATTGCCTATAATTTCCACCTGTTGTCTATCCCATTTGCACAACAGCATGTGAAATTGATTGTCACTCAGTGTTGCTTCCTAAGTGGACAGTTTGATTTCACAGAAGTGTGATTGACTTGGAGTTACATTGTGTTGTTTAAGTGTTCCCTTTATTTTTTTGAGCAGTGTATATATACATATTATATGTAGATATAATATATGTATATATCTTATATATGCATATTTATATATATATATTTTTTTTTAAATGTATTTATTAACTTAATTTTTTTTAGTTTAAAACTTTAAAAAAAACTTTTTTCACCAGCAGTGGGACTGTCTGTCAGTTCAGGCAGTCCCCCTGCAGGCAACACTATGGACGCCCATTGCGGCCATGTGACAGCTCTTTCAGAGTGATCACATGGCCCGTGGAGTCCTAATTTGCCGAAGGGGGACTATCTGGGCTGTCAGACAGTCCCCCCAGATGGAGAGGAACACTGATCGCCGGCGGTCAAATATGCAAACATCGCCAAAATTGCAAGATCTGTTTTAAAAACAACTTGCAGGGGCAGATTTGGACAAATGGCTGAGCATCTTGGAAATTATGTATTTGCGTTTGCATTTTTAAGTGCAATTGAAAGAACATTATACAGAACCATTTCCGGAACATAACTAATATAATGTATCACAGCTCTTTCCAGTCTAAGCCGTGTTATGTTCTGTCCTTATCACTTCACATAACAAATACAGAGTTTACCAAACCGTGTTTATTTTTGTTTATTTTGCTGTTGCACAAAACCTCAGCATGGGTCAGTTATCCCAAAAATCTGAAACAGGAAATGGTATTTAAAGGAAAAATATTCTGGCCCAAATTGTGAAATTAGCTAATTTGTCTCCATATCAACATTTGCAAAACATTACCACATTGCAGCATGCTAATGGAATTTTGTACCGGAGGGACGGTTTGCATACTAGTCGGGTTCGCATTGTCGTCTGCTAACTGTTGTCTTTATTTTAGACAATGGCAGTTTCTCAGTGGCTAGGTCGGCAGCAGAAGTTGACAGATACAATTTGACAAATTCTATACCATTAGCAAAATATTTCACTCAAAGCAATGAATTTATTTTTTGGAATAGCGCAGTAAATGCTGTTGATTATGCACTCCCTGTTGGAACACTTCAATGAGGTTGGGGGTTCAAAAATTAAACTGCCCCCAAACTATTGAAAACTACAAAAGACTGGCAAAGTATCATGGGAGTTGTAGGTCTATTAACAGCTGGAGATTTACCTGCTGGCTACCTTGACTTAAAGTATAAACGTGGAAGAAAACATATTTATATTTATTTTTTAAAAAGTGCTGTTTTCACAAGTGTGCGTTGGATTTGTCTCATCAAGATCCCAAATCATTAGATTCTGACCAGCTCTAGAAAGTGAGGTTCCTAAGGGCCCCAGTTTTGCTGAACGTGCTACTGTGCTATCCATCCTTCCCAAGCTTTTTCCAGGCATCTGATTCATGCTCTGCCAAAAGAATGTTTTACACAGTACAGACGGAATACAGTGTTGCTGGGGAGAGTCCGCTAATGCAAGGCCTATCCAACATGGATACAGCTAGAACCAACGATAAAAAAAAAAAAAAAGCAGACTTGGCTGCATTTGCAGCCTGACAACTAGGGCAGACGTTTTTAATTTACATCCAATCCCCAGCTAACCAACAAGTGGGGCTCACTTTAGGTAGAAAATATGATTCCATACATCTTATAAAAATGGCTTTATTTGATTCAAATATCATGCTGATAATATAAACCATGCTGTGGTCCTACGTTATCTTCAAAATAATGATTATTATTTTTTATATACATACCTGCCAAGCATGCCTGTTCAAGATAGACAGTCCCTATTTTAGGCTCCAATCCCTCTGTCCTGTTTTTCTCACCTACATACCCTTTTTTTTCTTGGAGCTCTGTGTTTTTGGTGTGTCTGAGCGTATAACATATAAATTCACAAATATAAAGCTCGATATGTTTTTATACATTTAAATATTATGTTGAGGCAAATGGTTAGCATACAGAAGAATCGATATACAAGTTACATCAATCATTAATCAAAATACTGCATTATAATAAGGCAGAGCTTCATATTGTAATTATGGGAGACGTAATGGTGCAAAGGAAGCAGCGTATGAGAAAATGGACATCAGAAAGTATACATGTAACAAACGCTGAGTTGACTATAGTAAAACGTGCCTTGGGTATGAATGTAGCACAGTGAGACACAATATTTAAAAGAGAGACGAGTAGCCAAATCTTAGATACATGCGCAGAGCTATACCCATAGTAAAAGGTTGTATAAACTGCAGAACCTAAACAAAAGTAATATGTCAAGAACGTAACACATAAAGAAGAGGCACATTATCGCTGGAAGCTTGGCTACGTAAATAGCTGTACAAGGTCCACACAAGGAAAGGTAGTGTATACCGCCCTGCTAAGCATGCACATATCAAATTAGGTCAATGGCGTCGCTTGCCTAGGGAAAATGAGATTAATGGAAGATACATCTCATCTAACTGATGCAGAACTCTGAGGCCTGGTGGTTGCGGGGGCAGAATCCCGTAAGGCCAACTTAGCCAAGAAAGAGTTCATGTTGGTTACATGTTCCAGCCGATGTCTAGTCCCATCACAAACTACAAGAAGAGCCCTTGGGGCGGCCCAGCTGTTGCAGCCGCCTTGTGACAGGGCGTAGAGACTGACACCAAGGGACGGTAACTCGGCATAGATCCGGGGATACAGTAAGCTTCGAATCCTCAAAGGTCTAAGGAGCTTTCACCTGATCCCTGCCAAAAAGAAAGTTTTATCCCGGCCCCAATCACATCACGATCCACAGTCTTGGATGCTTTCGGGGATTTATTCCGGCTGAATATTTTCAACCTTTATAGCTGACATTAAAGAATTCAGGAATATTCAAATATATTGAGGTAGTTCCCCATCATACTGTGCCCACTATGTCCCTCACACGAAGGTGCTTCCACCTAGTTTGACCCTCCAGGGAATATATGAGCAGGCATCTAAACAAGCCTTTGCTGCCTCCACCTGTAGGATAGAGAAGGATGCTGCCTCCTGCTTTAGCTTAATCGAGTTAAGATCCTCCTCCACGGTCCAGACATGGCCCAAGACCATAGTGCCGTATCTGAAGCCATGCTCTATTTTAATTCCAGCATCAGATTGTGTGTATCAAAGGATCTCGTTTCATCAAAGGTTGATAGTCATCGGCCCCCAGATCAGCATCACCCAAGACGTCAATTGGGTGAAAAGCATCCAAGATCTTTATCGGCTCCGTCTCGGAGTCAGAGTCTGGCGGGGTCGCCACTTTAGGTTCTCTGCGCCGGGGTGTTTTGTATAGAAGCATTCCAATGTCTTAATTTTCTTTCGGAATTTTTCGGCTCCCAAAATCCTCCCTCATTTTTTAGGATATTAAAGGTATAGGAATTATAACAAGCTCATTCAATAACTGTAAGCAGCTGTTGTATGTTAACTCTTTGTATTAATGTCCATCTAAATAATGAAAGATGATCTATTTTGCATGATTGGAATATGTGTAATAATACATGTACAGCTGCGGTTGTTGCAGGATGCAGCTGCGGTTGTTGTCACTGTTACTGTTAATTGCTGTTACTGTTCTGTCTTTAAATCTGCAGCATTGTGTTGTATTATTCAAGCTCCCCAGGACATGCTGGGAAATGAGAGGACTTTCAATGCATTGTCTCTTGGTGAAACATTGTCTATATGAATAAATGAAACCCCAAGTATTGCTGATGGTTTACTACCCATGTTTAACACACTCTGTCATACAGATAACTGAGCCATGAGCCAGTTATCTCATTGGGTTTTAGATTTTGTTTTACTTGTCACATTGTACAGCGCTGCGGAATTTGTTGGCGTTATGCAAATAGTAATAATAATAAGTGGATATTGCTGGAACTGATGAGTGAGTAAGAAAGATTGGTATTGGTCACAACGCAGAGTGGAAGACTGATATTGGCCTTAAAGAGACACTATAGGCATTAAAATAACTTTAACATAATGAAGCAGTTTTGGTGTATGTTTCATGTACCCGCAGTCTCACTGCTCAGTTCTCTGTCATTTGCGATAAAAATCACTTTTGTTTCTGTCCACGCAGCCTTAGCTACACCTCCCCTGGCTGCGACTGACACAGCCTGAATGGAAATTTTTTTTAATTTTAATTTAATTTTTTAGTCAGATGTTAACTTGCTTTAGACATTTTAAAATTCTGCACTGTAAATTGAACTTTAATTACACACACAAGGCTACTGCGAGGTCTAGCAAGCTATTAACAGAGATAAGAAATCCTAAATTAAACATAGTGTGCAATAAAGGAAGTTTAAACATTAGATCCTTCTTTACAGGAAATGTTTAGGAAGGCTGTGTAAATCACATGCAGGGAGGAGTGTCCTAAATGGCAGATAATTGAGCAGTGAGACTGCAGGGGCATGATCTATCCACCAAAACTGCTTAATTAAACTAAAGTTGTTTTGGTGACTATAGTGTCCCTTTAACTTTAACTGTGGTAGTGCCCATAGATGAGTTCAGGAGACTGGTTGAGGGCAGAAGTGAATGTGGAAGATTGGATGTGGAAACAAGTGAATAAAAAAGACTGTTATTGGCAACAAGTGAGTGCGGACGATTGTTGATGGCCTGAGCAGCCGCGAGAGGCTGGAGGATCGATGGTGCTTACATGTGAGTGAGGAAGAGAGGTTGCAGTAGCAAGTTGCTCCAGAAAAGTGATTGTGGCGACAAGTAAGTCCTGAAAAGTGGTTATGGCCATGTCTCTTCCTATAGGATGCATTAAACAAATCGGGGTTTAACTGGTACCCTATACAATTTTTTTTTTTACTTACTAGGAAGTCTTGATTATTCCAACTACAATGAGTAGTGTGTTCATTATTACACATAGTAATTAATCATTATAAAATGTTGCTTATGTCATAGATTGTAATGACATCATTTTAATGACTGTAGTAATCATTGCTGATTCTGGTCACATGCTGCTATCTACTCACAGTCCCAGCATTCTGATCCAGCCAAAGAGAGATATGGATGGAAAACCTCCAGCATGCTTTCTACTTGGGTAGCCAAGTACAACTAAGCATGATAGGAATTGTAGTCCACAGCATTTAAATGCCAGAGCATCCTGATCCCCATACTATTCCTCTCAAGCCCTCTACTCAGGGATGGGTTTCATAAAGCAGGGCTACTGAGGGTTATACCCAGATGGCTGCCTGTGTTCTACGGATTAGAAGGACTTTAATAAAAGTTCTTGATTAAGTGAGAAACGTGTTCAGTATCTCTGCGTTTTCCCAACCAGTCTCTTCGCTTTGTGCTTTCCTGCTTTATTCCTAATGCATTTGGAAGAGAGCCCCCTGTCCGCTTGGGGAACATTCATCCTGAACACTGACTGTCCTCCACTCATGCAGTTCCATTTATCAGCTAAACAGACCTCCAGTGTCAACGATGTCCACATCCAGATATCAGCCATGATTGATTAACTCATACATCTATTCTCGGAACAGCATGGCTTGCTTTCCTAGATTGAATTGCTACTGTGTGCTCAGTGTAAATACCAAACCCAGAGGAAACAATACTGGGGGGGAGATTTGTTTCCCATTTAGAATGCTACACAATCCCGGTCACACCCCCCCAACTGCCTCTCCAAACACTTCTTCAGACTCTGATACCCTAATACTCTTTCTTATTAAAGTATAAAATGTATCTTATCTACTTCCTTTTTTCTGCACTTTTTTTTGTTTATCTGCTTATCAGAAAACCTCCCCTCTATTACACATCAATTATTGTCTTTATTGTCTTCGTAGCCATTCAAGAGAAAGGCCCATGTAATTGTTTAGCTAATACTGTTTAAAATATAAACTTAACTTTGTTTTTTGTTCAGTTAATCATCAGTTTATCATCTGGCTACCAGCATAAACGGCGAGAAGACATAACAGTAAAATAAATAAAATAATTATTAGCCAAATTAAATAAAGCAGAAGTATGTTCATTTTGGCCTTTCCACATTATTTGATTCACCCCCATAGCTGTAGGGATCGCCAAAAATATGGGGGATGTAATTTAACAAATCAAATAGTCTTCATAAAATAAACCCCAAGTTTAATGAGCTCTATGAGCTTACATGCTAGAGGGAGTTGGGGTTTAGTGACACAAAAGGTAAGGTTAGGGGTAGAAAAGTAAGTTGCTAGAAAAGTATCTACTAAAGGCTTTTTCAGAGGCCAGTTTTATTGATACGCTTTCCTGAAGAAGTGAGTTTTCAAAGATTTTTTGAAGGAATGAAGACTGGGTAAAAGTCTAACGGAGAAAGGAAGGAAGTTCCACAGGAACGGTGCAGCCCTAGAGAAGTCTTGGAGGTGAGCATCAGAGGTGGGAGTACCGACAGAGGATAGACGTAGGTCTTCGTCAGAGCCCAGGGACCTAGATGGGATATACGTGTGCATTAGGGAGGATAGGTAGGTTGGAGCAGTATTATGTAGAGACTTGTTAGCATGTACCAGAATCTTTAATTGAACCCTATACGGGAAGCCAAATTAAGGACTGACAGAAAAAAGAGGCATGGAAGGTGCGGCCGGACAGGAAATGAAACCTCGCTGACGCATTTTGTATATATAGACTGAAAAGGGGCAAGTTGGGAACATGTAAGCGGATTGCAGTAGTCAAGGTGATAAGCGGACAACGGCATTGACCAGCACCTTAGCCACATTTGAGGTTAAATAGGAGTTGACGAGCACTATATTTTTGAGATAGAAGCGTCGTGATTTTGAGATCGACTGGGTGAAGGGGAGGATGGAGTCAAAGAGAACATCTAGGCAGCGAGCCTGGGAGGTAGAGGTCATGGTGGCGCCATTGACTTGGAGACAGACAAAGCAGTAGCAAGACTCAAGGGAGGAAAGACCAGAAGTTCTGTTTTGGATAGGTTGAGTTTAAGGAAGTGAGCAGCCATCCAGTTGGAAATAACAGATAGGCAGTCAGAGACACGAGTCAAGAGATTATTTGAGGACAGGTAGATTTGCGTATCTATTAATGAAGAGACCTTAAAGGACCACTATAGTGCCAGGAAAACACACTCGTTTTTCTGGCACTATAGTGCCCTGAGGGTGCCCCCACCCTCAGGGTCCCCCTCCCGCCCGGCTCTGGGGAGAGGAAGGGGTTAAAACGTACCTTTTTTCCAGTGCCTCCTCCTCCTCCTCTCCGCCTCCTCTCCTCCCCTTCGGCTGAATGAGCATGCGCGGCAGGAGCTGCGCGCGCATTCAGCCGGTCTCATAGGAAAGCATTCATAATGCTTTCCTATAGACGCTGGCATCTTCTCACTGTGATTTTCACAGTGAGAAGCACGCAAACACCTCTAGCGGCTGTTAATGAGACAGCCACTAGAGGATTTGGAGGCTGGATTAACCCATTTATAAACATAGCAGTTTCTCTGAAACTGCTATGTTTATAAAAAAAGGGGTTAATCCTAGAGGGACCTGGCACCCAGACCACTTAATTAAGCTGAAGTGGTCTGGGTGCCTATAGTGGTCCTTTAAAGATCATTTTAAATACCAAAGGAGCACTGTAATATTTTTTTCTTTAGGTGCAATGTTTGTATAGAAGTAATCATGACATTTTTGCCAAATACAGTATTTGTGCCAAAAAAAATAAATTAATTTAAAAAAAGTAAAATATACAAATGTACAAATATCGGTATTTCTAAGACTATCAATGGCAATGTAGCCTTTTAAAAAAATAAATAAATGCCAAGAGCATGTAAAAATAAATCAATATAATAAAGTTCAGTTACAGCAAGTATATCATTGCAGCCTGCATTGAAAGCCTGTAGTGTACCCAGAGCCCTCACTCCAACCATGAATACAAATATCACTGAAGGGCTTGAGAGAAGAGAGGAGACCCGGGAGCCTTAATTTAGTGTTCCTATGCAGAGATGTAGAAGGTCAATTGACATCCTGGCATAATCGAATGTTGTATGTTTTTAGGAGAGAATGGGTTAATGTGCGGCACGCAGTGAGATAAAGCTGTTGACATTTCCCTGCTTAATCCCTCAGCGCAAAACCCATGATTTTACTTGAAATGTTAGAGAGAACTGTCACTAGTGGCACTTTGATTTATTGTAGCAGAGTTAAGATATATACAGTCTAGCGGAATATACAGTATTGCATGATGACATTTTAAAGGATTTTTAAACTTGCCACCTTGTTATTTGCAGGAACAAAATGTTTTCTGGTTTAAACATTTAGGGTGCTATAGATCTCTTCCCTGCTGTCTTTTTGGGTATAAATGTTTTATTTTTAAAAATGTATTCATGTTTGTGCCCTATTCCCACCGCCTCTGAGTTCTTCGGCCTTGCCTGTAAGTTCTAATATTTTCCAGTCTTAGATTCTACCTGTTAACTGCAATCCCTTCCTGTTTGGGAAGGTTTATCACAAGAAAGGGGAGGTTGAGTGTTGTGTGTATGGAGTAGACTGAGAGCTGTATGGGGGAGCAGGCTGAGTGTGCATGTGTCTGCTGGCTGAGTGATGTGTGTATGGAGTAGACCGAGAGCTGTATGTGGGAACAGGCTGAGTGTGCATGTATGTGCTGGATGAGTGTTGTGTGGGAAGCGGGTGCATTTTATGTGTGGAGGAGTCTGATTGTTGTGTTTATAGGGGAGTATGAGTGTGACTGAGTGTTGTGTGTGTAGAGTCTGAATGTGTTGGTGAAGGTCTTAATTTGTCCCCCATCTCCACACTTTTGGCAGGAGGCGGTGTAACCTGGTAGCCCAGTGGGGGCATGCTGCGAGCAGGATTTCTGGAAGTATGTTGGGGGGGAGCTTTGCGGTCTGCACCAACATTACTTGCAGATTACTTTAAAAGCTGGCTGCGGTGCTCTCATTCATTAAGAATTGCTATATATTTAAGACTTGAAGGTAGCTCTTAAAGTGATCTTCATCCGATAGAAACCACGACGCTCCCTTGAGCAGGTGAGGAGCACTAGGTTAAGCAGGGAGATCTCAGAGAGGGCCTGGACACAGGCCCTGGGCGCTGCCTATGCCGCCTTAGTGGTAATTTGGCTACGCCAGTTCTGTAGCTAAGAAAAGGTGAGGTTTTAGAGTTTGGAATATTACTTAAAAACTTTAGTAAATGCAGATTTTTTTTTTCAAACGTCTTAAATAGATGCATCAAAAATTCATTTTTTTAGTATAAAGTTTTCTTTTAAATAGTGAAATGTCCTACCCCTTTAGTAGCAGGCACGCTCTATTAAGTTATATATGATTAAAAAGCAGGATATTTAATGCTGAAATGAGGACTTCAGTGAAAGAATATGTTACAAGAGTTTGCCTGTCTTCAAATGGTTTATCATGAAAACACAACATGTAACATAATAAACACTAAGTTTCTCAAAGCTATAAATATTTGTCTTTATTATAAACTAGTGGAATGGCTAGACAGTGTAGCATGTATGTAAATAGAGTGTTCACTTACAATAAAATAAATAATAAATTAATCAGATTGAATGTTTAAATTTAATTTTATTTAATATTAAAATGTGTATTTTTTTAAAATTTATTTGTTAAAATTGCATTATTTTATTTCTTGATAAACATGTGTATAAATAATGTAGGTTTCACCTTCCAGCGAGAACTTGTGTTTGAAATCTCCACGTCCTATAACTGGCTGCCTCGCAGATTATTGCGTTATTTTCATCGTGCATGCGCTGTGATTGGAGCTCGCAGTAAGCTGATAGCAGAAGCCACAATACAGCTGCTGTTAGCTTAGGCAGCAGTTCCATTCACATACAAAAGGAATGGAACTACCAAGAGATGAACTAGATTTAATATAAATTACATTGTGAAAAATAATAATACAAACAAGCTAGTGAAGACAAAAATTCACTAACTAACTTATGTTATCTATAAGAATAATCACATCTGAAAAAAAAACCACAAAAACAAACAAAAACCTACAGGTGGATTTTTTGGTCTGTTGTAGAACATTCGTTTATATTGCATACTGCTCGTCCATTTATCCCACCACTAAATTATGGTGAACTTACACCCAACTATTGGTGACTATAACTTAACTAATTCATCATCGATCATCCAGACTGGAGAGGGTCAATCTTTTCCAACTCACCCCTGGCACATAAATATCTGCGGGATCGATACCCCCCACTTCCTAGAAACATGACCCTTCCACTTGCGAAGAGTAGCAAAGTTCCTACAATAAATGCTTTGATATCAACATCATAAAATATTACACACACATACCTGACAACGCTGGGAGAAATGGAAACGGGATGGGAGGGCGAGCCTTCAATGGGGGCATCACCAGTGATGCAACTTGCGTCACTGGTAACACTGATAATGGGCAGACTATCCCGGGAAGTGAGCATGCCTGCCCGCTGAAGGGGAGTGTGAGCCTGGCATCAAGCACACCAGGATAACAGACAGCCTCGTTGCCTGCACCCACCGTAAAGGACTGTGCAGAGAGGGCAGCTGAATGCCTCTGTGCATGATCCTAGTGCCTGCTGCAAAGAGCATGCGCGTCTAATGATGTGCTCCACAGATCAGGTAACTAAATCAAGAAGGAAGGACAGGACCCGAAAATTGGGAATCTCCTGCCAAACGCAGGAGCCTTGCAAACACTTACCAAATGAAGTAAAGGTTATGGTTGGATGGATGGAGAGATGAATAGATGCATGGATGGTTGGAAGGAGAAATGATTGGATGGATTGAAGGAGGGATGAATCGTTGGATGGATGGATTGAAGGAGGGATAAATAGATGGATTGATAAATTGATAGGCTGAGAGCTAGCTTAAAGCACTCAGCTTGTTTATTATCAGGTCTGAGTGTTCAGTTTAATATCTGTTTATTATCTTTGCAATACCACAGGAATGTCATATGAAACGTCCGAGGAATGCAGTGCTGAATTCTGACCCTGTTACGGGAAAGACATCACTAAGGAAAGTGGAACAAAAGGAGTTATTGCAAAAAAAATATTTTTTTTTCCCTTAACTCTTTTTTTTTCTATTCTCCCTAACAGATCTTTTCAAATCTTGTGACACAGGTCTGATGTCGAAGGATCTACGACTTCAAAACTGCTTATGTTTTCATGTGACCTGCCTGCTCTATGTTGCTATTGAGCATACAATACCCCATCTTTGATCAATTCTTCAGATTTACTGGTGGCAGCGAGCTGGTTAACGATATTAGTTCCCTGCAGAAAATACTGACCTATTTTTCTTTCTAACTTAAACAAATGGATAACAATGCTTTTTCTTTGTCCTACATAATAAACTGAATGGATTTTGCATTACGCCATCCTCTTTGAAGTTCCTTAATTTAAATGCAAGAACCCTCCAAGTGCTAGAGAGGTGTCAGACCCTGTGGGATGAATCTGTATTGATCAGTGTGAAATGAAAGCAGTTGAGAAGTTGGCTGGATAAGCTCTCACACTGAAAGATACTCTAGAGAGTAAATGCTGTGGTGCCAAACTCTATTTGTCGGGTGGGACGGTCACAAAGTTTCCTTCTGCGTTGGAAAAATCACTTTATGTGTAACGAAAGGGTGTCCTAGAGTCTGATATATTTTCCTTAAATGCAAAGTACATAGGATCTGTTTTGCCCTTGACAAACTAGGACTTTGAGTCTTTGAGGTATCATTCAAAACCTGTCCCTTTGGTTCTAAATAACAAGAAATATGTCTGACAGTTTAATGCAAAACCACATATTCACATATATTTTTAATTTTGTGCCGGGGACTCAACCCCCACCACACGTGACTCAGACAGCCTGGAACTCTGCTCTGGGCTGACTTATGTCAATTCTGTGCATAAAAAATGTCTGTTGTCAGCGCGCACTACATGCTGCCGACAGACATAAAAATCTACCCCTTGCAAGCAGAGCGCCTATATCCTCTGGATATCTCGACCCAGATCACCGGGTTTTGGAGTTCATCCGGCAGAGTCAGTGGAAGATAAGACTCCCCTGCCTCCACAACATGTGGTGTGGCGTCAACTGTCTGGGTTGGTTGAGTCCAATTCGCTGTACCACTGGCTAAATTTATAGTATCTAGATTATTTATGTAATTTCCTGCAAGGTGCATACAATATTAGGTTTAGTGTACTGCGGACAGCTGGAGAAGCAGAGTGTGGCAAGATCCCCTGTGGTGTTTTAGCCGCATCTATGGGCCTGATCACAGTGCTACATTATGGGCTCCAGTGGGTTCTTTGGGTCTCATCCCCTAACGTCAAGATTAGGCAGCAGTGGACGGATTGTAGATGGAAGTGGAAAGTGGCAAGAGAATGTGATGGGACTGTGGCATAAAAGAGTGGGGGATAAGTGTGGGTGAGTGGGGGGGGGGAACAGGGGGACAGCAAGGGAACGAACAGCTACAAGATAGACAACAGAGTCCCGGAAGCAGGCCCGTAGGAAGAGAGAGGCCGGACCAACCAGTGGGATTGTGAGGGAGCTGGACCAGCTACGATAGAGAGCTAGAGTCAGAAACAGAAGTAGAGTGAAGGGCAAGGTAGAGAGATTTGGTTATAGTTTCAATCCCTATAGGGTTCCCCCTCCACTGTCCACCCTGGTCCCCTCCAAACAAAGCCCAGCCAGAACCCTGCCTCATTTGAACATGTGGTAAGAGAGGTAGTTACTGATTAACCTCCCAATGGAGGCCCTACCCAGTATATTATGATGAAACAGATTGGAATGTAATATAACAATATAAAACATAAATTTGAACTAACATAATATTCCCCTGATTTTCATCCCCAAACTAATACAGTCAATGCCAATGATAGCCTATGTACATACTGTCAGTTGGTCTTGTGATGCACCTGCCTGAGGTATGTGAGTTCTACTGCACTGTCTGAGAATGTGAGACAGTCTGTTTGGGTGCAGCAACTGTAGCAAGTCCTGGTTGGGCCGGCCACCTCCTGCAATCCGTCATGTTTCCTGTCTCAGATGTTCTAGCAGGAAATCCCTGGCATGGCCCACTCATTACCAACGGCCTCACCAGCAGCCATCCAAAGTGTCCTGTGATGCCCTTTTATGTCTGATTGGCCCGATGCCCATGGACCATTTCATGCTAATGGTTGGCAATTGCAGGCTGGTGCTGCAGTCCATGAAGTCCACATGTGTACGGAACAGCTGTGGCCCCATCGGCTTGAACACTAGGAGGCCTGTAGGCATTTGCCAATGGTATCTTATTTTTTTGTGACTGCAATGCCCTCATCAAGGGCTCCAGGGCTCAATGTATGCTAGTGTGGCTGGGCTCAGTTCAGCGAACAGCTGTAAGGTGGTCTGTTGATATGCAATGTCCCCTCTGTCTCTAGCCCTCCGAAGTACGTCTTTTTTGTGATCATAACGGTAGAGGTAACAGATTGTAACTCTAGGTGGTGAGTCAAGTGGGCCTCGTGGGCACAAGGCCGTATGTGCTTACATAAAATCTATATCTGCCTGTGGATTGTGTCCTAGCTGCCTCTTAGGACAATGTCTTAAAGATGCTCTGGGGTGTCTTCTAGTTCTGGTATGCCACAGAGCCTCAGGTTGTGCCTAGTACAATTGCCAAGATCCTCCACGAGGCCCTGCAAACGGCTTGGACCAAGTTGGAGCTTTGTCCTAATAGAGACCAGTAGGTCTGAATTGGCTCATCAGCGCCATTCTAGTACCATGATGCCATTCAGAAACTGACGTCCTTATAGTGTATAGTGTATATTTAGAAACCATCTTTCTTGTGTACTAGTAAGATATATAACTTTATTAGATTGTATCTTTCTTTGCTGTATTTTGAAGGATAAATATCCCTTTCCAGGCAGAAATACGACTGCAGAAAGACTCACAAATCGGCCATTATGTATCAGACGCAATCTAATTTCTTTCGTATGAGATCGATGATCCCGTAGAGCAATTTAATTCAGTAAAATGTGCTTGGATACAGTAATGATGGAGATGCAAAGCAAGTTACAATACTTCCAAAAATTACAAACCAAGAAGCCAATCAAGAAAAGGTATTCAGGGGCACAACGTGAAAAATTTTCTAAACACTAGAGACAGGTCTCATAAAAGCATCCATATTAAAAAAAAACAAAAAAAAAACCTTTTTATTCACAAACTATTAATATGTTTTAAGAAATACAAAAAAAAACACAACTTTTTTTCTATGCAGAAAGAATAATGTAGATTTTTAATTTTTTTTTTGGTCCAGGTGACAGGCTTGCTTTAAATCCATCTTTTGAAATGTCAGTGCGGTACATCAAACAGACTGACCATATGTTTAAAAGCGCTTATCATTTAAAATGATGTATCGGCCTTGTTGCAAACGAATGGGTTATTTAGAGATCATAACGGAAGACGGATTATCTTTAAATGTACCAGAAAACTCGCTTGCTAAAATTTCATTGCATTAAATGAGCCTATAGAAAAAAAATAAACGTCAATTTATGAGGTATTGTGGCGCGGCTTAAGTACTGTATTCCGAATCGAAGCGCTATTTTGTTGGGGCAGGGAGGGGGTTGCCTTTTATTTTACGATACATTATGTATTGAAACATATTCCAAAATGACAAATATTTATAGTTTTTTAATAATTCCCCTTAAATACTAGCTTTGAAAGTGCCCCTTTCCACTGGAGTATAGCCCCTTTCATTTGCAATATTGTTTTCATAGCAAATCTAGCTTTATATTTAATCATACACAGTTTATCTGTACATTTTTATACTGACTGATGTACCATGAATATGTATATTAATGGTACTTCTGGCAGAAAACGTCTCCGCAACTGATGCATTCTCCGTGTGGTTGCCTAGCAACCCTGGAAAATGTTTTGGAAGGGCTAATTTTTTTAGTATGGTAAACACATATTTATGCAGTTCATTTAATCAGAGTCCTGGCAACTGGGTTAAGTATGACCTAATTTTATTCATATTTATTTCATGTAAACTGGGTCCTGTCTCCTGTTTTTTTTTTTTCTTCTTGTTTTCTTTCCTTAACTGTACAGAGACATAAAGATTTAATTCTCTGAAATTTCTCTGAAATTTCCATTCTCTGTTCGGTTTTTTTCAACGTATTATTCAACTAAAATGAACTCTTTAAAAAAACAATCGTAAATCACGGCTAATTAATCAGCTCTTTGTAAATTGCTGCTAAAAAGCCGAATCCAAATAAACAGAATTTATAGGAGATTAGCTGATTACTATGATAATTAGCTCCTTTTCTGCTACAATAGGGTTGTGCGTCCTCTATTTTGCCATGACTAACAATGACTTTAACTTATTAATTAAATAGTTCAGCGTAAAAGAATAACGATTTATCAAGGGCGTCCTGGTTAATTTATTTTAATATAGTTTGCATTTTAATATAGTATATAGTATAAAGAAGTCTTTCACAACCTTTTCTATTAGCTTAGTAACAAAACTAAAAGATTTTATAAAAGTGGATGTATTATCAAGTTTTGGTACAACAAGTACTAATAATAAACCTCAATGAATTCTTAATGGGGCAGTTTTGGTGTATAGATCATGCCCCTACAGTTTTAATGCTCAATTCTCTGTTATTTAGGAGTTAAATCACTTTGTTTATGCAGCCCAAGCCACACCTCCCTGCATGTGACTTACATAGCCTTCCTAAACACTTCCTATAAAGAGAGATCTAATGTATAAACTTCCTTCATTGTACAGTCTGTCTAATTTAGAATTACTTATCTGTAAATTGAACCTAAATCACACAGATGAGGCAGGACTCTGTTAATTGCCTTATACACTTTGCAGGAGCCTCCTGTGTGTGATTTAGGTTCAATTTACAGAGCAGGAGATCAAAACCTCTAAAGTAAGTCAACATCAGATTGAACCATTTTATTTAATGCAGGCTGTGTCAGTAACAGCCAGAAGATGCGTGGCTAGGGCTTCATGGATAGAAACAAAAATGATTTAAGTCCTAAATGGCAAATAATTGAGCAGTGAGACTGCAGGGGCATGATCTATACTTCAAAACAGCTTCATTGAGCTAAAGTTGTTCTAGTGACTACTTTGTCCATTTCAATTTAAGGGGCACTCTAAGCACTATAACAACTACAGCTCATTGTAATTCTAATTAAGCTATCAAGATTCATTGGGCACCATCCTGCTTTTTAAATATACACTCTGAGATTTGGTTGTCAAAAAGTAGGTTTGTCTCTGGTTTTCTCTGCAGCACCCAGAAACTGCCCCTATACAGCCAATTTGGTGATGAAGAAAGTATATTTCTGGCCTATCAATGTCAATGCTGTTCAATTTGAACAGTGAATAACGTCTCTCAATGGATTAATGGCCCAATGATTCACAGTTTTTAGTTACATTTTCCATTGTTCTAAGTTCCAAATCCCAACAAGAACAACTCACTCCTAACCTCTGCGCAAATCTTGTGGAGAATCGCTACCATGATACCGCCTTGAATTAACACGGCAACATTTCAAGCACGATATTTTGGTGCTTTCTGTTCTGCATATTATTTTAACAGATAACAGATTTCCAAATGTTCTAGATATATTATGCTAATTAATCCATGCCCTAATTACTGATATTAAAATAACAGGGCGATTAATGCCGCAATTCAAGAGGATTTTCTATTTGCCAGAGTGATGCAATTGCAAATCTCCACATTCACTGGTTTTAATATAAAGTGATCAAGGCTGTTGTTAAAGTACACACCAATGTTCAAGCAGGAAATCCTTTATAAACGGCTGTTTTGTCAAAACGATCTCATTGGGCAAGAGGTTTTGTTTTCGTAAAAGTTGTAACGCAGCCGCGATGAGCTCTCAGTACATCAAAGACTGGCGACAAATCATTTGGTCATTGGGATTATATCGGACAAGAGCATAAAATAATTTATCAAGTATTCCTTTAGCAGCCAGCCAAGGGCATTGCAGCGTGCCAAACTTAAATCGCACTAACAAGATAAAACTGCAGTAAAATGAATGATAAAATTAAATTGATTCATTTATTAATATAGTGACAGCACTTCACCTGCCATTAGACTCAACGATAAAGGGTAATAAAGTTGCTCATATAATCAGCACTGTCAGAATTAGAATGACAGCTCTAAAGCGGAGAAAACAACATATATTTGTAAAAATTTTTGTGTTAATTAATAAAAAACAAAACAAAACAGAAACCATTAAACATAAAAATGTGATAGATGTGTTAGTAGTGTAAACTAATTGAAAATGGTCATTATAAGCATGGGGGTTTATTCACTAAATCATACATTTTGAAGGATTGACAAAGTAGCGGTTTGGAAAAATATGAGGACAAAAAATGAAAAATAAAGAGTTGTAGAATTCTCCATTCTCTGAATAAACCACAGTGAGATAGCCGTATATTCAATGTGGAAATAAAGAAAGGAAATGTACGACTGATAACATCAGTAATTTGAACATGATGGCAATATATTAAAAAATAAATATATAAAATAAAACGTATGGAAAATGATCTATAGAAATTATAACAAATGGAAACAGGAAAATATTGGCGTAACTAGACCATTAAATATATATTACTTGTAACAAATATCTAATACTTTTTTTTTTTTTAAATGTAGTTTCATTTATTCAGAAAACCCTGTTTGAAGTTTATCTGCGGTGTTTTTACTTCGCATGATGTATCGTTCTATAGCAAACGTTTTGTGAAATTTCATATTAGTGCAGACATGCTGTTTTGGAAAATCAAAATCAAACAGTTTTACCCTTACAGGCATCTTGCTATTAATAGATGGTCTTATTCTTAGAAAAAAAAAAAAGTATTTACAATCCCCTTGATGTGGCCATGCTTGACTGTAGTCTGTAAACCTGTAGTTTTTAGTGGTAGGCTGTGATCACTTAATGAAGGCTGCGTTGCTAAGTACTACTGCGATTTAACACACAGAGAATAATCAGCAGATTTTTCTGTTGTTTTCTGCACACATCGCAGTCCATTTCCATCCTGCTCTTCACGAGAACGTCTCCCCCCCCCTTAAGCTAGCCTCTCCAATTCATAAATTCATCACGATTTTCCCAGGATGTCATTTTTGGCAAATGATCCCCATTGCATGCCTCTCGTTAATGGAGCTATGGCAGGGTGACCCCAGGAAATCTACAGGCCAGTTGAAAACACAGAGAGGGGTTCAAGGCTGGGGCTGTGAACTCTAGTTTTCACGAGCAGGTCACGAAGGGGTCAGGAAAGCATTGTGCGTAGAACACTGGTTTCTATTTAAATCCTTTCATGTAAAAGGAAAAAAAAAGGTCTTATTATTAAGAAAGGCCTTGGATGCTGTTGTGTGTGGGCCATTTTAAACGACTTTACCTCTTACACCAATAGAAAATATTACAAATGGATCATCACTATAGTGAGACTACAAATCTTTAGATTTAACCCTTTGCGGCAGCTCGAGGGGCTGCAAACCTTGTGTCGAGCATTCTCTCAACACCTTTGGTGTAGACGTGCAACTTTCACTCATTAACTCTTGGAAGCGTCCATCAGCAAAAATAGCTGGTTCAAAAATTACATAACTTCTTACTCACTACTACATATCCAAAATATTTCCTTTACTTTTATCTCACCCGCAGCACATGAGAAAGTTGAAGGACCTCAGAGACAGTTTCCCAAGAGAAGATAATGGCTTGATTTGGACCAATTAGGCCACTTTAACTATGTACGATAACAAAAAGTGATAGGCAAGTTTATTTTGAAAGTAAATATACAGCAAAGTAAGTTGTGATAAAATACTAAAATCTTAGAACCCAAACATACATCATACTATCAAGCATACATTTTGGGGTGTCACCATTTTGTTTTGGCAACAGTCCTACTTGAGACCCGACTCTTCAAGTTTTTCTCACACCAATAACCTATGTTTTCCAGGAGTGTAGAATGTTCTCTAAATAAAACCAAAGAACGTTTTCCACTTTACATTTTAAAGCCCAAAAATTTACGTTTTGAGACTCCAAACTGCAAATTGAAAACAAGCAACAGCTTGAATTCTTGCAATTCTTGTTCACAGTTACTAGAACTAGGGGATACCTTAAGAGACACAAACCTGTGGTGGTGTGGATGGAATATTTAGAACCTATTATGCCCGCTTCCACACGAATGATTTCTGGGTGTATGGGCATTCAATGAACTATACTATTACAAATGTTATAATTATAAGTCCGGTCAAGTTTCTTCAGCTTTTTCCTAGTATCGGTATCCCAAGGACAAAAAGACAATTTGGTCCATGAGATATATCTTTTGACAATCAATAGGACAAACTGGCCTTTCTAAAAACCATTCCTCCGTATGTGAAAAACCAACCTGCTCAGATCAACTGTTCAGTTATTTTTAAACGTTACCTGTGTATATCTCATAATACTCAATCCTTAAGCACTATCCCGCATATCCCCAACATTTTCTGGTTTATCCCTTGCTCCTTTCTCCCCCTCTCAAACATCAGTACCTATGCCTCACAAGAGAAAAATAAGCAGATTTTTGTAAAGATCAAGATCAAGGAACCTCAAATTTTCAGACAAAATAGCAGAATTTGAATCATTCGAATTTTTTTTCCTAAGTGACTATTTTAGCCTAAGATTTGCAACAGTCTTATTAGTTCTGTGTGGGATCTCAACTCTCCTCAGCAGGCGCATGAAAAAATTTAATCACACTATATGTTTCTACAGAATTGCATTGCTTCGTTCTCCTTTAAGGTTTAATTGGCGGGTGAGTGACTGGTAAACACCACTTACAAATGGCTTCTGGAACTGGACTGCATTAGCGAGAGACTCTTTGCGGATTTCGCTCATTCATTCTGACGAACACAACATTCCTTCTTATTGAGGTCTTCTAAAATCCATGTTGATACACAGAGATATTTTTTTTAATGCACATTTTCGAGTAGGCACAATTTCTTCAAGTAGCAAACATATTTACTTGATGGAACTCAAGTAGCGTGAGATGGAAAAAGTGGACTATGTGTGGACCAATGATTGATTGTATTTATTTCAATGTCCAGCTCGATTCAAATTGGAGGGGAGACACTTGGAACAAGTTGCCGTGTTGCAGCATGTCATTTAATGGTGAAGTGGATTCTTGTAAATAATAGGCTCCTGGTGCACAAAACAAGTGCAGAATAATTAGGATAGGGCCTTTTCTAGAATTCAGGACAGTTTTGGGGGAGGAGGGTGGGACATGAACCCTTTGCACCTGATCGGTGAGAACAGTGCGATGTACTGACTGTATAATTAGCAAAAGACTGGAGAGATCAGTGACCTATAAAAAGAAACACACATGCTACATATGTGGGGTACACTGGGTTTTCACCAGTAATAGGTCATGTAATCTCCTTTTCGTAATATATTCATGAATGATATCAAAGATGTTATGAAGGGAAAATAGAAAGGTCTATTGCATGTTAGATGTTTATATGGATATAAATCAAATTAATAATAATAATACATTGTGTAATGCTAAAGAAATAAGCAGAAACATAGATATCCAAATCTCTACCTGTGTCTAAGTTATGGAAACCGGAGAAATAATTGAAGATTTGGTATCTAAACTATAAATCAAGGAATCTTATGACTTACGGAGGAAACTTTGGAAGTCATAGAACCAGTATGGCTTCAGAAGTATAAGAGAAGAAATTGAAATGGGAAATAGATACATTTTCTACATATTCCTTGGAATCACTGGTCAATGTTCATATGGTTTAAAATTCTTAGTTGAATTTTAGGTCTAGGAGCTAGGAAGTTCTAGTACCTTCATGGCGGATTTTACATACCCTTCCGTACTCATATTCACAAAGACTATCTGAATCCTCTGCCCTTGTACAACAATGTTACCATAAGTACAGATCTAGTTTATTTAAAAGCTTACTCCAAGCACCATGACCACTTCAGTGATTTCAAGTGGTCATGGTGCCTAGAGGCTGCACATGCAGCCATTCACTATGAAAAGCTCCACACATGGAGTTTAGCTCCACCTCCTGGAGCAACACTGGGGCGTCATCAACCAACCTGTTACTAGAGTTACGGGCTGACTAACGTCAATTCTGTGCATAGTTCTATGTACAGAATGGCAGTCATTGCCTGAGATTAGCGGATGCTCTTAGCCAATGAGTGGCCCTTTATATTCCTTACATTATGATACCCAATCAGCATTTAGCCTTCAAGACTAGTCATCTCCGGTCTAAGCAGATTTTTGTATGTAATGATTAATTAAACAGATAGACAAATGTTCTCCAACCTCTCTAGACTGTAAACTCTACGGATCAGGGATAATTATTTATGTGAATATTTTATTTAACCACTCTACACTTCAGAGTATGTTGGCCCGTTATAAATAAAATAATAACAATTAATCATAACTACAATCTCCTTTGTTATTTTATGTCTTTTCCCCCACTTACCCAAAAAAAGTAAATTTTGTTTGTCTTCACAAATTTAATAAAAAGTGCCTGTTTATTGTTATTGCAGAATATGATGATTTTATTTCATTCCAGGCAGCAAATCTCACTCCAGATTTCCTGCTGTTTTTACACTTTAGACGGACCTGGGGTTTGCAAAACCTCGTTTTTCATTATGTAAAATGCAGGAACACCTATATTAACTTACCAAGCGTTGGGAGGGTCTCACACAAGATGCTTTTAGAAGGATTTTAATGCTCATTCCGGCTGGGAAACACATCCCCAATAAGAAAGTTTGTTCTTTCTTGAATTATAAGCCCATTGTTGATAATTTGCAGGAAAGCTTAAACCCATATTTACTATTTCTTCCCGTCCAGTATATCTAGATGTTTAAGTTTGGAGAGAACATCCCTTTTTGGGACCCATATCTCACTATTATTATTTTATAACAGTGAGGATTATTCACTAAACTGAGAATTTTAGGGAGTCAACAAGGAATCTGCAAAGTGTAAACCTAAATAACCAAGCTGGAGAAATTGCAGGATTAGAAAATTCTAATTTAATCTAATCCATTCTAATCTGACTATTTTGGCCTATAACTAGCAATTCTGCGTTTAGTGGAGTAATCCCTATGCGTCATTTATTTTTGGGAGTTGTGCATTAGTGAATCCCAGGACGAAAGTATTTGTACCTTGGTTATTAAGCTACCAAATAAGTCTCAGGGTAATCTTTTTGTTGGCAGATTGCATCTTGGAAAATCCTAGAATTTACTAGACTTATAGCCTACATGGATTTTTGGATTCTGTAACTTCTAGCTTTCATTCCATGATCTGGGTTGTCTTTTCCGTATTTCTTTGTTTGTTGAGTCACGAAATCTCAAGTTCTTGTGAAGGTGCCGGTGACCTACACGTTACAACAATTTTCTATTTTTAATTTTTTTGTGTGTGACTTAACGTGTGAAGAGAGGCAGGTTTTGACAAGGTAAAAACGTATGTGTCGTGCTGTGATTTTTGTGTACCTTCTTCAATTGCAGGCAACCTGTATGAGGGCAGAACTCAAATTCTTAAAAATATTTTTGCAACTGTCCGGAGTTCCATGAACTGCAATTACCACTCGAAACCCACTGAGATGTTTTTTGATTGAGACTTGGAATATTCACCATACCGGGGTGTGGTGAAACCCCAATTTACATGAATGCTAGTTGGGCAGTCCATAAACTAGTGTACAAATTCACATAATTAAACACTTGGCCCTGCATTATAATCCTGCATCAGCAACCATTCAATAACATCTTCTAACTATCTCCGATATCATGTGACTTTGTCCGATATCACGTGACTTTGGCCGATATCAAATTTTTAAAAACTAACAGACTGGACAGATACCTCTTGAAGCTCCATTGGGTGAACAAATCAACTGAGTAGCAACATCAACCATTATAAAGCTAGAGTGTGTTTGACAGACTTGACAGAAGGGGATGCTATAAAAAGCTTAAAAAAAGTGTATGATAGAAGTACGTACAATCTGTCCCTATTTTACTCGCTTTTCCCACAATTCTCTGACTGTTGTTGTTTGTTGTAGTTTATTTGTAGTATAAGTTTGTTCTAGTAACTTTAATTGTACTGAGTTCATTTGAATCCTGCTAAAGTTCTTTCAGGAAGTAAAACTTACACGAATATGAGAGCACATGTACCTGCAGAGGCCACTATATCGAGAGGTGTGAAAATCATCAATCAGCAACAGTATGTGAATTTGCCAACTGCCCTAATAATTTGGGAGTTATGGGTATTAACATTTACGTACAGAACAGAATGAGAAGTATAATATTGCAATTTTTTTTTTTGTCTAATGAAGTGAACAGCAACATAATGCAATAATCGTTTTATGCAATCAGAGCAGTTTAACTGACACAAAACATCATCAACAACAAAATTAAGCCTATAAATAAAAAAAAAAAAGAAGCTAAGAAAATGGAACTGCTCTGTTATTATTTTTCATTCGAGAGAAAATGAGTCTAAAAAGATAATTAGTTAATTGAGCTGCAGGAGATATCTCACATAGCAATGTGTCAGCTTCTATTAGCGATTCGGTAACATTAAGCCAGATTACCTAGAAGCTCCCTGGAGATACAGTTTATTCATTCACCAGATCCAGGCTGCCTCCCCCCTCTCCCCCATGTTGTTAAGATCATATATGCAGACAGATGCTCCATCACCCAGCACAGTACACTCTGATTTGCCGTCAGTTTTCAATTGTTTTCAAGGAAAAAAAAAAATGTTTTTATTGATCTGTTGTCCAGAACAATCTCACTTGACGTGTTGTGGTAGGACAGCACCCCAGATTAATGAGCCATTATTTCTCCCACTTGGCTATTTTATATTAAGTGTGTCAAATCCATGGCCAACTCGCTACGTCTCACAGCTTGGTCAATAAATTCTTGAAAGTCAACTAAAGTCATGTTCAAGGGTGGCTCAAACCACAATGACCACTTCTGCTTTTAGAAGTGGTTATGGTTTTAGGAGTCTGTATGTGCCGTTTCTGCTTGGAACACCGCACATCCAGGGATATTTGCAATTTTGTGCTGGGGGCTCTGTTGCCAAATTTCAATTCTGTGCAAAAATTAAGTCTGTTTTCAGCATGCACAGAGCATTGGCAACAGATAGTTTGTAAATATTTAAAAACCTATATGGAGATTCTGAGTGTTTTATGGTTTTAGGTTATTTAATTTCACAGCCAACCTATCATCATTGCGAGGTACAAAAACAGGACAGGCGTTTGGAGAGAATGTGAGGAGTCCGAGAGGAGGACATCAGTAATATCACGCGGTTTTAGAGCCTTTAGAGGGTTTCCATACACAAAGCTTTGCAGAAGAGGTAGAACAGCCTTCTTTTGGTGACTTTTCTCAGATGTGGGATTCCTTAGAAGAAAAACAACTAAAATGGAACTAGAGGAGTCCCAAAACGGTATATGCCACTACTGCACATGACTCGATACATTATACATGCTCTCTCCTTTGTTTTTCAAAAACTTGCACCTATCCAGGACACCCCTTTTACCGGAATATCCAGGATGGGTTGGATTTAACAATTATTATTAATCCACTTTACAGAATTTTTTGGGTCCTTGACTGATATTGGCACACAAGTATTTTTTTTTTTTTTAAATCTCGAATTATACAAGATTTCAAAACATCAATAACAAAAGTCAACAGACAATAGGTTCCAATGGCCTACAGGGATGTTGGATGCTACTGAAGGGCCAAAAACCAGGTATCCCTCGGTTAGAAAGTCTGCCTAATAGACTTACGAATCCACAAGGCTGTGGGACTGTGATGCATTTCTTGGTTCATTATATAAAAAAGATACTCAGGGGGATAATTATTGGGTCTAATCAGAATTTAGTGAATGTGCTCCCAACTTCTGTAGCTTTATAGTCATTAGGTGCAATAGATTGTACATACTTGGTATCATTATACAAGGCAGAACATTCTTTTTCAATAGAAACAGGAGCCCCCCTCCCTCTTGCACAGCAGGAACACAGTTTTGAGCTTAGCAGATGCTTCCCCTGCCTCTAGCACTGCATTCTCTTGCATATGGCATGCAAGAGAGGAGAGGCCTGCTGGGTAATTTACTCAACGCAAGCCCATCATCCTTCTTTCTTTATAAACCCTGCTGAGATATATTCTTCCCTTTAATCTGTATCCTCGGTGTAGCACATTTCCCAGTCTCATTCCACAGCCACGGAGCCAGAGGAGGGTGATAGCAGGTGGATTGTCCTATTATTACCATGGCCCAGCATGGCAGCTTTTTAATGTTTGCCATCAGTAACATCTCACGCTATACAACACCATCTACAATCATTCCACCGTGCTCTCCGAAAGGTTGTGTTAAAAAATATATATAATTGAAAAACGTCCAAATATGACTTCTAATGGTAAGAGAAAATATATAGTTGTATAAATCCTTGTATATCAAGTAAGTGCTATTTTCTTAGATTATTTTCTTAGATTGATATTACTACATATAATGCCGAGCAAAATAAGGAGGAAAGTACTCAGGATGGCAATTTCTGAGAAAGCTTTCAATCTGAAGAGGATACTGTATCTTTCATGATATGTTTCATACAGAAGGATAGAAACCGACTGCAATGGATGCAGCCAAATACAGGACATTTCAGTCTGTAAGACACGAGACATTGGGGCAGAAGTTTGCTCTTTAGCAGAGTAATAACCCTAAACTCAGAGCTTAGTCAAATATCAAATAGGAGGTCAATTATTATGCAACTGAAGAATGTCTGTATTCCAAGTAATTAAACAAAATTCAGGAGTTTCATGTGGATTATGCCTGATTTGTCCCAAGGTGCCTCTCAAACCAACGTGGCATTACCTCAAATCCCAATTATAAAAACAAACAGTCCGGACACTCAATGGTTTCCGAAGCAGGATTTTTTTGAAATGAAAAAGGAACATTTTGACTTCCAATGAGTCTTTCTCAAACCATAATGTCTGTACTCTGAGTGTAAACACACTGTGTGTGACGGGAGCAGCGGGGGGACTGGTCCCCAACTTTAGATCCAGACCTGTGCCGCTATGTGGTCCTTCCTTCTCCTCTGTTACGAGGGACCATTACCTTTCAGACAAGTATTGATACCCTTGCATGTCCTCCTACTCCCAGGAAGATATCAACCCCTCTACCTGTCCTCCTCCTCCCAGGCAGGTATGGACCTCTCTGCCTGTCCTCCTTCCAAGCAGGTATGGACCTCTCTGCCTGTCCTCCTCCTTCCAGTCAAGTATGGATCTCTCTCTGCCTGTCCTCCTTCCAGGCAGGTATGGACCTCTCTGCCTGTCCTCCTCCTTCCAGGCAGGTATGGACCTCTCTGCCTGTCCTCCTCCTTCCAGTCAAGTATGGATCTCTCTCTGCCTGTCCTCCTTTCAGGCAGGTATGGACCTCTCTGCCTGTCCTCCTCCTTCTAGGCAAGTATGGATCTCTCTCTGCCTGTCCTCCTCCTTCCAGGCAGGTATGGACCTCTCTGCCTGTCCTCCTCCTTCCAGGCAGGTATGGACCTCTCTGCCTGTCCTCCTCCTTCCAGGCAAGTATGGATCTCTCTCTGCCTGTCCTCCTCCTTTCAGGCAGGTATGGACCTCTCTCCCTGTCCTCCTTCTTCTAGGAAGGTATTGATCCCTCTTCGTGTGCTGCCTCTAAATACTGCCTTTATTCGGGCACCTGTGGCTCACAGGCCTGAATTTTTGCTAAAAGATCCCCGGTAAAAAGGAACAGTGTAGCCAGAAAGTAGGTCCCAAAAATATGCTACTGGAATCCCTAAAAGAACCAGACAGAACACAAAATTCCAAATGGAACTACCTCACAGTATTTTATTTCCACCCATGACAAGTCCCATTAACTTTACATTCGACTTATGGTGACACACTCAACCTTATACATTACACATAATCATATGAAGAATTGTACAAGCAACCACATAGCACAATACTGGGATTTAGTATAGGGGAGGACTGGGATTTAGTATATGGGGGGAGGGGGGGAACTGGAATTTAGTAGAGGGGGGGTTGGGATTAGTAGCGGGGGGTGCTGTAGCCCTGTAGAGGGGGATGCTGTTTTTTTTTTTTATACTGTGCTTTTCAAAATAAACCTATGTTTCTATGAAAATTTAAGTTGTTTTTTTTTTGCGGCCCACATAAACTTAAACCTTGTTTATTTGGCCAGTGCTAGACTTTGCTTGATCTACAACCTATAGATGGCGCTGTCACACACAATGTCCCAGTGGATGGTGGTGGTTCCAGTGCCTATTTCTGTTTGTATTGTGATAATGTATGTGTGTGTTTCTGTGTTTGCTCTGTATAGAATTCAGCATATTGCATTCCATAGACTGGCGGCACGAAGGAGGATTAATGAAGCTGAACTATTTAGATCCCAGCAACACAAGTTTGAGAGAGATTACAAGTCAGCCAGAGGTGTCTATTTAACCATGCCTCCCACAGATGCCACAAGTGACATTGTCTGTGGAGATATGAAATGGCTACTAATAAGTATGGACGAGTGAGTTATGGACATGATCAAAGAAACGTTAAGCATTCCAGCCTCCCCATCACAAATCAGTCAATTACTCGTTCAGTGAACCTCTCTGTCTGTCCCTTGCATACATTCACAGGAACATCCAAAGAACCAATACAAAGACTTCAAGATTTGCACTTCCAGGTAGGTGCCTACTCTGTATTACGGCAAATATGAGCCTTATCGTGAAGAACACGATGAGCAAACATTATGGACATTTTCCCCCAAAATAGGCAGAAACGGCCACAATTTATCATTCCTGCACTGGGGTTTAGTGGGAGAGAGGAGATATACTCTGCATGTGCCCCAATATTTGCCCTAATGTCTAGAACTATAGTGTTTTTAAAGAAAATTGTTAACATAATATTTTTATTCTAGTTATAATAAAAGCAAAATACACTATGGCTGGATAGAGGTACGCCTGCCCTCTACAGTCAAAATCAATCAGAATCTGAAATATATATAAATATATCTACATATATCTCCATATATGACCTTTGTTGGAAATCAGATGGGTAACAAGTTAGTCAAGCCTCGGGCATACAAGGGGTTCAAAGTGTCCTTGCGCCTTTGTGATATCGTCTGTGTATAAGTAAAGGACACGTATAGCTATTTTATTTCCCATGTCCTCTATTTTACCATGTACTCTGGGGATTTATAAAAAATGTTTTGTCTTATCATTTTATTTATTTTTTAATTAAAAATTTCTTTAATTATTTATAAAAAATGTCCAAAATATGTTGTAGCGCTATACAATGGAAATATATACGTACCAACACACAATGAACGTTTGAAAATGAATGTTTAATGTCTTTATTCATTTATTACCCAAAGCTGGCTTAGCGTGCTGGGAATTGCTGCAGACAGTTGCTAGATTGCCAATTTCCTAACTAGGAGACCAGAACACCAGAGGCATATGAGAATAATTTCTACATGACATTTAATAGTGGGGTGCAGTAAGAGGGGTAGGGCTCATTTATTTAAAGGATCACTATAGGGTCAGGAACACAAACATGTATTCCTGACTCTAAAGTGTTAAACCACCATCCAGCACCCCTGGGCCCCTCATGCCTCCATAAATATAGCAAAATCTTACTGTATTCAAGCCTGAAGCTGTAACTCTGCATGCTGTTTGCCTCAAAAAAAACAAGCAGTCGGCTGACATCATCAGAAGTGGTAGCCTGATCCAATCACAATGCTTCCCCATAGGATTGGCTAACAAAGAGGCAGATCAGGGGCAGAGCCAGCATGATTCAATCACAGCCCTGGCCAATCAGCATCTCCTCATAGAGATTAATTTAATCAATACATCTCTAGGAGGAAAGTTCAGTGTCTACATGCAGAGGGAGGAGACACTGAATGTTTGGATGCATTTTAGGCAGCCATGACCCAGGAAGGATCTCTAACAGCCATCTAAGGAGTGGCCAGTGAAGTTATCACTAGGCTGTAATGTAAACACTGCATTTTCTCTGAAAAGATAGTGTTTACAGCAAAAAACCTGAAGCTAATGATTCTACTCACCAGAACAAATTCAACAAGCTGTAGTTGTTCTTGTGACTATAGTGTCCCTTTAAGGGATCCCTGTTGTACCTCCAAACCTACCTACATGCACAGGAGCTGTTCTGTCATAGCCTCTGTTCCTTGCCTTGTGATGTAGTGTCTAACACAGGACAGTGGGGGACATCCCAAACCCTTTAATCTGGAATATGATGTCACAACACAGTGACACAGAGGAAACTGTCTCCATATCTCTGAACGGTCCTGTGTACAGTCACGCTTTGAGACTCTTGTCCTATTATCCTAGAGTTGGCTGAGAGTGTCAGTTGACTACTTTCAGCTTATCACAGTGCCCATTGATGGTACGATTTGGTATGGCTCGAAGGAAGTATGTAATCTCTGCCTTAGTCGTTCCTCCAGTGGGAGCCAGGGTGTGGGCCAATCGGAAATGGTTTAATACTGAATGGAGGGACAGACACTATAACCAATTTGATGAGATGAAATAGTGCCTACAGAGTCTCTTTACCCAAGACTGGTGTCTTCTCGGGGTTCTTGTGTCCTATTTATTGAGATACATGATTTTTGTTTTTATCTTTTTTTATTTACCTCTTCCTTGTGATCGGCTAAGCTGTAACAACTCTTGGATTGCTTGGAATATTTGCAATGCATGATATCATATATATTTAATTAATGAAAATGTTAGTTTACGGTTATCTCAAAGTAGCTTCTAGAGTGTCTCTTCACATGTCTTCAAAAAGCCCCACTCCAGGGCACAACACCCTAGCCAGAATCTTAGTTTTCAGCCATTAGTAGTACCGGAACCGGGAGAACAAGTGGCAGGCTCATGTAATGCCCGGGGGAGGCGGAATGGCACCACCGGACTTACCTTCCTTCCAGGACTCTGCACTCCCTTCACCTCAGTCAGAGGCAGGAATGAGCCGAACCCAGAGGACTCAGAAATTCTGTTTGCATGCCTTTTTAAGCAAGTCTGTGGAGCTGGCCCCAGAGAGCTGTGTGGCTTTCCTTAAGAAACTCCAGTGGCATGTATTAATCTTGGTTTAACATGTTGTTTTTATGCTTACTTTAATTAGTTTTCTTTTGGTTGCTTTTTATTAACTGGGGCACTGTTTAGCACACTGTTGGGCATCTGACATTTTGCCAACTGATATATCTATAAGTTGTATACTGCATGTGTTATCGATTAGAGCTAAACACTCAGTCATGATAGCATAATATCCTTCTGAGCATAGATTATTGTATATTAAGCTTCACTCACCTACTTAACATTACAGCTTAGCCATGCTCAAAGTTGATTAGGTTGTTAAAGTTTAAATGCCAGCACAGGGTCGAATGGGAACATAGAATAGAGTGCCTACTTTGTTAAATAACAAAGTGAGAGATCAATTTTACATAATTGTAGAGCAGAGCAGGGGATTTAATAGTGGGGCAGAAGGAAGAATGCCTACCTACTATAGAACAGGGTTGTAGGAACATTGAAATTTATCCCTTATTGAAACTGTCTCTGCCAAACTATATTTCCATAACAGTTATTCCTCATCAGTTAAATTGGAGCACAGCAACTCAGATCTACGCAGCCAATGTACAGATCTCCCTCCACTAGATATAGTGGTGAAGCCCACAAGGCCTCCTGGACTGAGAACGTTCTTCATCAGGTACATGAAATGGGCAGAAGAATGTGAAGAAGAATGATGATGGAGAGATGAAAGTTGGAACCCTAATGGGGGAGAATATTTGGAAAAAGAGGGCAGGAGAAAGCATGTAGGGTTGATCTTGACAAGTGTCATGTCCTCACTTTTAGCACAACCTCATAGTTAACCAAGACTTAGCTATTGCTTGTGCTAACATTTTTATTAAATTCCTTATATTTTTTTTAAAGCAGATTTGTCACTTTTCATTATTTTATAAAGATATATTCTTTATGAGATTTTACTGATTACTGACATTCCAATCCAAGCCAAAGATACCACAAGCAAAGTAGGGACTATTGTCTTATGGACAAGCCTGAGGTCGACAATGCTGGAGCTCCACCATCAACTTATGCCCAATTCCAGCAGCCATCGTAAGTGAATGGAATTCAGGAAGCTCCCTCGGTCTCGCGGAGTGCTCCATAGACATCAGTGCACATGTGCAAGTGTACAGCACTGATGTGACTCCTGGGAAATTAAGCAACAGGAGCTAAAGGGGACCACCAGGAAGACAATAGCCATTAAGGACATCTTCAGGTAAGTAAAACCTACCATCCCCCCACACCTACACTAGATCTGCCACCATCAGGGGTCTTTGCAAAATATGCAAAGACTACAAAAAGTTATAGATCCTTTTTGGGGCAACGAGCAGCAATTTATGCAAATAAAATTATTGACCTCTGGCAGTGCTATATGCAAGGCACATGCGTAGGACACTACTGAAGAAAATGGCAAGCATGAATATGGCATGATTTCTCCTCCAACAAGCTTTGCTACTTTGCCTTAAATTCACTTTGAATTACCAAAAACAGTTTAGTTAATACGCCTGACAATTTGCAATTTGCTGACTCTTCTAGCATAGGGATAGGCAACTACATCCCCCATAATGCTCTTACACCAGGGATCCCCAAAATCCGTCCCTCCAGATGTTGCTGAACTACAACTCCCATGATTCTCTGGCTATGTATTCCATTCAAAGAATCATGGGTGTTGTGGTTCAGCAACATCTGGAGGGCCAGAGTTTGGGGATCCCTGTCTTACACCCATAATGCTGGTAGAGCATCATGGGAGGTGTAGTCCAAAACATCTGGAGTGCCGAAGGTTGCCTATGCCTGTTCTAGCATATTGGTTTAGTGCAGGCTTCCCCAAACTCTGGCCCTCCACATGTTGCTGAACTACAACTCCCATGATTCTATAAATGAAATAGATAGAATCATGGGAGTTGTAGTTCAGCAACATCTGGAGGGCCGGAGTTTGAGGAAGCCTGGTTTAGTGAAAACATTCCTTAAAGAAATCTTCCAAGCACCATAACAACCACATCTTAAAATGCCTGGAGTCTTACCTTCTACTAGTAAACCATTCTGAAACTGTTTAACACTTAAAATGTGTCCCTAGTTACTGGTCTGCAATTCTCCTCCTCTCTAGTCTAATGAGGAAGTGTTAGCGCAATCAACAAGGGGATAGCTGTCAGCCTATCACTGGCCGCCAATCATGAGTCATTAACTCTCTCAGCCTATCACTGCCACCCCGTAACTGCTCTCGCGCTTATGTTTCTTCATTAGTCTAAGCAGAAACCCATGTCAGTAGACCAGCGCCTGCGGGCACATCTTAAGTGTTAAGCCATTTGATAATGGTTTAACCCTTCAAAGTAAGACGGCACCAGGGGACCCCAGCCACCATAACAACCTCTTTGAGTTTAAGTTGTTTTTATGCTGCCCATAGTTTCCCAGTAAAGTAGGAAGGAAAACATTGTCTACATTAAACAGCATCCCTGGTTTTATAACAGCAATTAAACAGCAGGAATATAGAGTCGTGTATAATGTTAATGTTCAATTATATATAAAACAGTAAGATATTATGTGGAGTGGGCATCGTGCATCTGGATTTAATCCGTGGCCTCGCTGTCCAACTGTGCAACGAACGAGTTAAACGAATGATTGCAAAACACAGCTACAGCAAATGTCATTTTCCCAGTTGGAAGGCGAGCCCGAAATAGCCTGGCAAACAGAGGATGGCAATGACACAGGCAGAAGGATATGTTTTGTGCCCGCTTGTGTAGACGCTTGAACACTTAATGCAGGGACGCGAGAGAGAGAGAGAGAGAGAGAGGAAAAGAGGGCCGAGAGACGGTGGTGAATAAAAGGCACACTGAACCATTCACTGTCAGAAAGAGCGTATCTTAAGACTAAGTGGTGGCTACAGCAGCCAGCCGAGCAAGACCTTTACCATTCCAATAGTTCATTTCCCAGTAATTTTTATTGACAGCAGATCTCAAAGCACACACAGTTGTTTACAACATTGAACAGGAACATTGTGTGTACGGCTCTATTCCTTTTTGGATTCAGTTTGAAAGCCTTTAAAAGTTGCCGTGACCTGTCAAATCTGAAAAATTGAAATGATGGGTCTGCAACCCCCCCTGGCTCCCCCCTACCCTCCTTCCTTTGGGTTTTAATATTTCAGTGCTGGCAGGGAACACAGAACATTTTACTTAACCATGTGGCACTGCAAAGGTAACGGTAATTACAAGCTATTCACAGAGATATCACATACCTCCTAACAGACCAAGATTTAGAAGGACAGTCCCCAACTTGGGCCCCTGTCGAACTGTCAGGGGCTTGTCCCTTAAGCGCACTACGCAAACTCATTTCAGGATTTGTGGCCATTGCAAGACTGCATCAACAGCGCTCTATGCATTGGGACAGTGAATTTATCATTCTGAGCATTGAATCAAAGCGAAAATGCAAATCATGTGTGATCCTTGTTTGCAGGTAGCACGGTCCTCTAGGGCAAAAACATGCACAGTCCTTGTAATTGCAAATACTCCAGGCACTTTATTTGTAAGTTCACACAGGATACAGCAGTAAATGAAACAAATGTAACAGAAAACCCTATAAACAAAAACCTGGCTCGTCTGAGCACTAACTGACATTAGGTTCCCTATCTCTCAGGGTTAAACTAAACAAAACAATAGTGGTTTCACCAACCTAGAGTCTTTGTCCACTCTCAGCACTCCAGTATTTAGCCAGCCTGCTGCTTCCAGCCTTTCAGAGAGAAACAAAACATTCTCCCTTACCTGCCTAGCAGGGAGGGATTTATTCCCACTGCTGCAGCCGATTACCTACAGCTGAGCAGTAGGTTGGAGACAGTCCAAAACCCTGGGCTGGATCTAAGTCTTCCAAGAAAACCGCTAAACTGCGGAGTGGAGCACTGGCCCACCCTGCTCTCCAAATGCTCCACCCCAGGGGCCTATAACTAAATATTCATTCTGGTTACATACACAGAAACATACACTCCCCCTGGGGTTAAAAATCATATGCCTCTCTGAACAATTCTGTCGAGATATAGACTCCCTCACAGACCACCCCATTCACCTTATCACACATGATAATTGGTATTGCTATGTTTTAATTACACATTTACACAGTATTTCAGAGCACCAATAAGGTGACAGGATGCACACATGGACATTAAAGCATCTCGGTACCCTCTAAACTCTTTCTGTGTACCAGTTTCTCAGTTTCTGGCACAGCATTTCAGAAACAAATTGGCTTCCAGATTTTCTAGGTTTCTGATAAATCAAGGGCAAATAGAAAAAGCACCGGCAATGATCAAATGGGAGCAAGAACTCCAATTTAATTATTCTTTGGAAGAATGGTTGCAGGGCCTTCTTATGGTGAAAAGGCATATCCAATGTGTAAACATATTGGAAGTCCATTACAAACTCATTTATCGGTGGTATCTGGTCCCTACACGATTATCCCGAATCCAGCCTCAGGTGTCCCCAGACTGTTGGCGATATGGCAAGGCACTTGGTTCATTTCCCCACATATGGTGGCAATGCGAAGTGTTGGATACCTTAAAAGAGACCCTGTCTAGTATAATACATTTTATTTTTAAGAGGAAAGTCAAGTTAACAATACAAATGTTCCTGTTCCAAATTGATTTGCCTACGGGTAATACCAATATTAAAACCCTTCTGGACCATGTTTTTATGGCCACTAAAATAGTTATGGCAAGACGCTGGAGAAATACAGTGGACAGAGATAAATTCACAGTTGAATTTCCAGTACAGAATGGAAGCAGGGTTTTATCATAATAGAGTTTCTATAGAGAAATATGAAGAGATTTGGGCCCCTTGGGTTAGATTTAATGCACACTGTGACTGAAAGACGTTGCTCCCCAGCCATACCCTTTGGGTATGTATGCGTTGAGTGTGTTTGAATGGGGTCAGAGACAGGTTGAAAGTCTGGTATGTTTATATGATGAATATAATGTTACAATATCATGTTTCAGCTCCACGTATGACCCGTTATGATTAATATGTATAAATGTGTGTTCTACTGGAAAATAAAGATATATTAAAAAAAAAAAACTCTTTCTGAGTGTGTCATTAAAATGTTTTCTGAAATTCCAGTGTCATCAAAAAATATCATATCAGCAACTACTTTGTCTTATCTGCAATAAGATGGTTGAAAATGTTGAGAATAGGTGGACCTTCCATAGTCGGCTTTTGTCAATTCTAGAAATGCGGAAAAGAGGCATTCTGTAGAGCATTGCATACGTTGGTCTATGGAGGCTTCTACAGTCGGTGGAATGGTCCATTGACCTCAGCATTCTACTAGTGTGCTTGTGCTAGAGTACAGTAGTAAAACTGATCTTGGTGGAGAAAGCACCCAGACCGAAGTAAGACGATGGGAGGGCCGCCTGTGAGGGAGGGCTAAAGGTACCAGGTGCAAGTACCATACTTCAGAGAAGTCCGGTACCTTTTGCTTCACCCATGGCCAATGCACACAAAGCGGGTATATCACATTTGATTAAGGGTGACAGAGCGTGAAGCAAAGACACACAGATATAAAAATATCCTAAAGTGTGAGCTACCCATACTTCATCCTAAATAACCCCCAATGCCTGGGTTTAGCTAAATGATAACAGACCCTAATCGTTTCCTTGCAGCAACAATTTATGAGTAAGTCTGTGTTATTCCCTTTATTGTGTTACCCAAAT